ACTGCTGCTTGGTGTCACGCAGCTCGGTCTCCCCAAGCATAGTATCCAAGTCCGACAGCGCGATCTTGGATCGATCCTGTTCCACCTGACGATAGTAGAGTCCCACTGCGGCCCACGCTCTGCGGACTCGAGCTGTCATCAGCAGTGCCTTGTCCCCCAGGCCCAGCTTAGCTACCCAGGGCTCAATGGCTTGCTCAGATGCCCATAGAAAACGAAACTCTTGCAAACTCTCGACGCCCAACCGGAGCAGGGCTTCAACTACCCCATCATCCAACGAGAAGTTGTCACCCAACTTCCTCAGGATTTCTTCCGGGGAACCCTTTTCCAGTGGGACTTTATCAGTCTCCATGGCCTGTTCTCGAGGACACCCCTCTAACTAAGGCCCAGGGATCCCCTCCCTTTGACTGAAAACTGCGCCTCGGGTCTCCCCCGTGCGATGCGCTGGGACAGCCTGGCATGACATGAAAGAAATGGACATTGAATTACACTACTGTTACATCAGGACATGTGTACAACTCACAGCTGTGTGTTGACCTCACATGACATCACCTTCATGCAGCCACATAGCTATGGTACACCTGACTATCTGGGGTCCCCCTCCCAGATGGTCTTGTGCGATGTTGTGAAAAGAAAAACCCATTCAAAACGACAAAGCGACATGAGGGCAACAGTTGTCGGCTCAGTGGGACACCCACTGTGACTCTTCTGACCCTCCTGTTTTTCTCTCGCACTCGATGTCACTGCTGGGGGCGGTCATGCAGGCTGGATTGAAGCTCTTATCCAAGCCCCGGCGCAAAGGCCAAAAATTCGGCTTGGGCATCCTAGGCAGGCGGCCACCATGATGCTGGCGCCCGACCGAGGCACTGGTCACACCAGGGGCGCTCCCATGCCAGGGCTTCAAAGACGTCGGTGGACATGTACGGGTTCACCAGGCGTTTCGCCTTCCCGTCAGCCTGCTTGTGCTGGCACAAGGTGATGCCATCCTCGACCGTAACATGGGTACTGGACCGATCAGTAGCTGCATGTAGCTGCATACCCCTGCGGCTCAGGGTGCTGTGTTCCCACCGCGGTGTCCTGGAAGGTTTTGTGCAGCCACTTCCGCATGCCCTGGTCTCGGATCACCTTGTTCAACTCTGTGTCCCGGCGGCTCTCCACGTAGTGGTTGGCATCCTCAATGGACTCACCCGCCAGCAGTGCACGGCAGAGGATGCCTAAGAACGCACCCCGGTGTCTCCCCTTGATGCAGTGCACCACGACGTTGTCGCCGTGCCAGACGGTATTCTTGACAGCAGGCCAAACGTCTGTCCACTGCTCGTTGCGTTCCTGGCTGTATGCCGCCGCGAAGGTCATCAACTGAGCCCCCGGGAGGGTCACCCCCCCCCGGCTCTCAGGACCATGCGGGAAACAGCAGATTTGCAACGCCGTCTTGGGGAACTTGTCCACAGTCTGCCGCATCGGAAGTCCTGCCAGGTAGATGCCACCACCCTTTCGGGACGTCCAGATGCAAGTGGGGGCCTGGGCGGTCCCTGATCCCACACCCAAGCGCTCCAAGTGCAGGTCTAAGGTGTCTCCAGCTGCTTTCCCACGGCCTTTCTTTGGCATGGCCTTGGTCTGCGGCTTCCCAGGAGCTGCCAGGCGCTTCGGCGTTGTGGCTGCAGCCATGGACTTCGCAGCTGTGGCCGGCGGCTTAGGTGTGGTGGCTTTAGCCTTCGGAGGCGTTTTGGGGGCTGCAATGGCTGGCGCCTTTGGCGGAGTCTTGGGTGCAGCTTGGCCTCGAGCTTTCTTGACAGCTGTGCGCATCACATCTGCCATCTCATCGTCTGTGGCACCGCTCGCCGCGGTCCTCTTTCGGCCGAATGTGGCCTTCTCACCCACGGCTGCCGGCACCAGAGTGGCCGATGGCTTGGGCGCCGCTGGCACTGCCCTTGCTGCCATCACCGCTCTCTTGATGTTGCAGATGCCCGCACCGTGCTTGCCACCACATGCCCGTCCTGACTTCTGTAAGATGGCACACAAGTGCACTCCGAATGGGCAAGAGTCTGCTGGGTTCGGGCACTCGTCCGTCTGGAAGTCCGGGCAAATGGCCTTGCCATTTTTCAATGTGGCTGTCAGCACCTTGCCCTTGAGTTGGTCAGGCATCTGAGGTGCCGGTGCTGCCTCGGCCTCCTGCCGGGCTTGCTGTGCCGCTTGAACGAACTGTTGTGACAGCTTGAGCCTTTTCTTCACGTCCTGGAAGCTGTGTGCGGAGGCCCACATAGGTTGGCGGTCTTGTCGCAGCAATCTGTCGGCCTCAGTCAAGCCGTGAGCTCGGGCTGCATCTAGCTCTGCCTGCGGGATCGCCTCCCACAGCAGCAGTAGCGCCCCAGATTAGCGATTTCACCTTAATCGACGCGGCGTATTTGGCCGACGAATAGTGAAATGCCATTGCCCCCACCTCTGGTTGCTCGCTCTTGGCTTGCCAGTCGCCCAGGGCTGCCATTTCTTCAGGCCTGCAGTCTAACAACTGGGCCACCGTTGGTGCAAGCCTCCTCCAGCTGTAAGTGGTCAGGTCTTCTGGATTATCGAGGAACACGGACATTTCCTGCTGCATTGTTTCTTGCACTTCAAGGATCGTCCAAGGGCGCCCTTCGTCCGAAAAACAAAGGCCTGCAAGTCTCTGCCTTGCTGGTGCCAGCGTCCTGTATGCCTCCAGCACTTCCTTGGCCCAAAAGAAGCCGTTGGCAAAGGTGGCCGGCACAGCAAAGTCGAATCCTTCACGAGCGTGCTTTTGTTTTCCTTTGGGGCACCTGCAATGGAGGAATGCAGCCGTAAGACGTCGAGGTTCTGACCGCGCAATATGCGCATACCTCAAACAGCCAAACGACATGATCCAAGGGGCCAGGAGAACTGACCACCTCTCGTCGCCAACCGCGTGCAACTCCATGATGCGGTCCTCCAAGGCCTGCACTAGCGGCGGTTCCACCACCGGTGCTTGCCCACGCTGCCCAGTCGCCCTGGGTGTTGTGGGCACTTGCAAGTTTCCCAGCTCCAGATCTTGGTCGGCATTCTTGTTCATCCACTTCAAGGCTTGGAGTGCTCGTGCTGGGGCCGAGGTATGGTTCAGGAACTGATCCAGGTCGACCATTCCAGGAGGAGCGGGTCGCCCCCGACTCTCCAAGAAGGCCCTCAGCTCCAACCATGTGTTGACCACTCGGTCAATGGTCGCCTTCTCTGCGTCCTTCACCTTCTTCTCGGCGATCCTCTTGCACGTTTGTTTCCATTCTGCCTTGAGGGTGTCTGTCAAGATGCCAGCTGGTTTGTATGACCCCATACCGACAAACATCGACACCAAACCGTTCACTCTCTTCTGGACGGCTTCATCCAGGTTCTTGTCGACGTTGACGGCCTTGGGTTTCTTCTTGTAGATTGTTTTGCGCACGGGGCGCAGAGTAACAGAACCCTTGGGGTTGTCCTCCACGACTTTGGCCCCAGCGGCAAGGAGATGTTCTTCCACCCTTGCTCGTGTCTGCAGCCAGTCATCCGCTACGTGATGGCCGGCCAGTCCAACGACTTGATCGTAGTCTGTGTAGGCATAGGCAAAGTCGTTGTCATCCAGGAGGCCTTCGTTCTCCCTCCATTGACGCGCGCGTTGTGCAGCTATCATCATCAACGAGTCGGCTGCCCTCCATCCTGGTTCAGGGTCACCCCCTGAAGAAGATGAGGCTGCCGCTTGAGCTGCATAGTAGCCTTTGCCGCCTGATGCCATGGCACTGCACCCTAACAGAATTGCTAAGGTGCGGAGAGCAAAAAGATGCTGCGGTGACTTCAGAGGTGCCTCCTCTGTCATAAAATCAACCTGCAGCAAACATCTTCTTACGTCCTCCACAAGTGCTGCATGGCTCTCGCCAGGTAAAGCAGGCATTACACATCCCGACGCAGCATGCCCAGCACACGCGCCTTGTAGGGTCCCCGCACTCTGTACAGGCCGTGCCCAGTTGGAGCACGCCTGCATCCTGGCATTCCAGCCATCCACATAGTGCTCGATGTGCCCTGGCGCCTTCTCTCCCCCATGCAGGCCAGGGTCGCCCCCTGGGTGCTCTGGGAAAGTGGCGCGGCTCGAGGAAGGTCGGCAGGAGCTCGTGAGGGCCCGTGCATCTGAGCCAACTCCTCCATTGGTCAAAAAGCTCTCCCAGGCCCAGTTGCCCAGCGTCACCCGCTGTGCACCTGAGCTGCAACCCGTAGAGATCTTGGGGCACGATGTCATCAGCCACCTTGAGCTTCGTGTAGGCAGCGACCAGCAAGAGGTCCATGGGATCCTGGTGCTGGTAGTAGTACGCCCAAGCATCCGCAGGCGCCACATCGTCAGGCAGCACAACTCCGCGGCTATTCCACCGGCCGAGCCACGGGAACTTGAACCCCCCAACATGAGCTGCGCAACGCTGGCAGTCATCAAGGCAACAGGGTAGCTTTGGCAGGGGGGGGGAAAGCTCTGAGTCCGTCCCAGTCGAAATGACGTAGGGGGAGTGCAACACTTCAATCCCATGCATCCAGCAGGTGTAAGCTGCCAAGTCAGAGCCCTCCCGTGCCAGCCTTTCCACGTGGCCCTTAAACTCCAGGAAAGCAGCCGCATGGAGGATCTTCGCCTCGGTGGCTGCTGGGATATCGATCCCTGGGAGTTTGCGCTGCATACAAGGTCACCCCTTGTGTAGAGTTTGAACCAATCAATCAAGGTCTGGGAAGGTCACCCCTTACCAAGACCAAGAAAGAAAACAGCAATGAATGCTATTTTGGTTCAAGTTTACTTGAGCCAAAATGATAGCATTCATTGAAGCACTTAAAGATGATACATGCACACCCAAGCCTGCCAAACTCAATGCATGGGTATATATATAGGGATGGATTAGTGGATTATCTCACCAATTTCAAGTTCTCAGTTGTCAAGATGATTTCCAGTTGTAAACTCTACAGGTCCACTCTTGCAGTAGCAGGTTCTGATCACAAATGATCACAAAGGCCCACACGTCAGCGCCTTCTCGTGCAACTAGGATTTCTGCTTGGTAAGTTTTCTCGCCTGGACCAAGCGATGGACTACAGTAGACTGATTGCAGAGCTGAGCTGCCACCTTCTGATGGCGCTATCTATAGCTTTTCCAGTTGCATTTTCATGCATTCTCATGGCTTCACAACTTTCAATTCAAAACATGTCGAAACATTCAAACGTAAGACATGTGACATGAATGCAGGCACAGTTGCCGGTGTTCAGCAAAGCCCCATCGACAATCCGCGCTTTGCCAATCTCAGGCGCGTCCTGAAATCGCTGGCCGATGCTGGCTGTGGTACCATTCGATTTTCAGGCGGTGCATCCAGGTCACTGCAGGTGCCGGCTTGGGATTGCCGCGCTTGGCAGGTGATCTGGACACTACCCGCCTGGCAATGACCAAAGTTAAAGACCAGAAACTATAGACCGTGTGACTTACCGTGATCATTGCCATCTACTAGTCAAACTGAGTCAATCTGAGTCAAACTGAGTCAAACTGCTAACACTTGAAGTCTTGCATCAAGCATATCTTATCTTATCCTTTCCTGGCCTACTCTCAACCGATGTGACTGTACAAACATCTTGGTGATGGTGGTTGGCATCACTGTCCCAGCAACTCCAGCGACGGACTCTCGCCTGGGAGGAGAAGCTCTTCTCCTGGACAGCCAAAGACTCTCACAACTATCACCCGTCACCGCCATCACCTAATGGTGCAGATAGAACAATAAAATCCCACTGGAATAGTGGCCCTCCCCCGACACTACCTTTCTAATCCTTTCTATCCTTTTTGGGCTTGTATACTATGACTCTATGAGGGTTTCTGTCACTTGGCGATCCCCAAAACCATTGGTTTCAGTACTATGTCAATCTACGATAATCTACGAGCGCCGTACTTAAGTCAGATCAGGCGGAAAAAGTCACAACATCTCAACATCCCCATGGCACAGCATCATTACAGAAGAGTCACATCAGGTGGTAGAAAGTCACATCAGGGAAGGACAAACACCATGGTACAGCCTATTTCACCTGTAATTGGACATTTAGGCAGAAGTCGCCGAAGCATTGCGCACAGTGATGATTTTGAAGAGTACAAGTGAATACAAACAAATTCTTGGCAGCAAAGCTTATTGGCATGGATATCCTATATTGGTGCCCTGCTTCGTCCTATCGATACGACTTTCACAAGCTGATACACTTAACCCTAAGGTAGTGCTTGATATTCATGATCCGAGAGCACCGTTGACCCATGATTGTGCCTCGGGGAATATCTCCGTCGTTCTCTGGACGGAGACTGATAGCGATCACGCGAGTCTGACCGCCGCCTGCATACCGTCTGAGACTGGGAGATTCTCGCCCCAGTTATCGCTATCTTAATGAGGAAAATTATGATAATTATATACAATAATATACCATGATACGCCATCAAATTATCAAATTTCAGGGTGCATGTATACTATTTTTTTCAGGCCAACCATCATGGATCCATACAGTATTCATCTTCCTGTACACGAGACCTCCCTTTTTCAGAGTCGAGACTGGGAGTTTTGATCTGAACATTGACAAACCAATGCCACCTGCTGAGACCCGGTGGCAAAATGCAAAGCCGTCCACAGGGTGCAACATTGGCCCCACTGGGAGGACGGAAAGCCGCAGTGTAGGGGGTGAATCCATTGGTCACTTAGTGGATCTTTGTTCTCACTAAGGGTCATTGAAATATATTGAAATTCATTCCATCATCTCCCTGCCCTTTGTTCCAGAATAATCTTTGCGAGATTCTTCTCAGTCGCCTCTGCAATCTCCCCATTGGGCTTCATGAGATGAAACGACACCCCAAGAGTGTGAGTGAAGATCTCAGAGATCTCATTCAATGTGGGCGTGTCGCTTCCTGTTGCCTGAAAGAAAGGCAAGGATGTGGCTGCAAGTCGTGTTTGAGCCTTAACACCGTCGGGTCCGCAGCAAAGGCAAATATATCGGCAGCTGCCAGAGTCGCGACGCATCCGAAGGGCTTTGTGCAGCCCGGCTGGAACAGTCCTGGCGCCATCTCTATGCAGCACCACTCTCACAATGGAACGCACACCTTTCGGAGGCAAAGTTGCATCTGTCTTTTTTGTGGAGCAAAGGACCTGTAGTTGACCTTCAGAGAGTTCCGTTTCAAGTCGGCTGCGTTCTCTTTTGCTGGCTTTGATGTTGGCACTCGGCCAGTAGCCAGCTGAGATATGGAGTCTTTGAAGCGCAGCGACGCAAGCCTCTGCACACCTAGCCTGGTTGAAGAAGACCGTCATGGGAGCCCAATCAGCAATTTTCAGACGAAGAAATTCAGCAACATCCCTTGCCAATTTTTCAGTGCATAGTGGGCGTCTAAAAAGCAAAGGCACCACCAGAGCTTGAAGAGCAGCCACTTTGCCATCACGATAGGCTTGCTCCATAGGGTAGCGATAGTCGATTTCTATTTTTTGGGGAAGAAAGTCCGGAACAACTTGCACCTGACGTCGTCCAGCAATTCTTTCCACAGATTTCTTACGGCTGTAGGTTGGATTAACACCCATTATCTTTGTATCAAAATATTGCCCATGCAGAGCGGCGCTGGCTCCATACAGCGTGCAAACAGCTATGCTTCTTGTCGGATCGGCTGGGGCTTTTGCAGAACAAAATTGGGCATCCAAGTTGTATTCCTGCAGTTTCGCAAGAGTTGTCATGGCCACCTCCTTGTTCGAGACTATGATTGCGCATCTTCCAAGCGGATTTTTTTGCAGCGACATTGCTGCAATGATGGCATGGAAATTGGTATTGTAAAAATCATCCAAGAGCTGAATCCGAATCGGTCGGCCTTCTTCGATGTATTTCTGTTGGCCGAAAATCAGTTTCAACGGCTTGTGGTAATGCTTTGGCAGGTCCTTCATATCTGGCAGCAACAAGTTCTGGATGTTCTGGGTAACCCGCAAGTGCTCTTGAGAGCACCAACAGGAGCAGCATGCCAGAATCACCAGGACACGTGCAGTGCGACGGCAATACATCGTGAAATGTTCATTGGTTTCTTGAGATGAAACGTGATTCATATATTTGATGAAACGGATGCAAGGTGGAGGGTTGCAAAAAAAACACCTGGCTGCAGTTTTCAAATCTTTAAATACGATTTTTTGGGTTCCTTCCCCATGGTATTTAAATATGAGGCCAGCGCACCCCTTTTCTGCAGGAAAAAGGATCTTCTTGGACATGTCAGTTTGGGGAAAGTGACTGCAACTTGAATCTGGAAAAGAAACAATGATCGCGCCTGGATGCGTATTTTTTGATTTTCACGGACAAAGCCCCTTGGCGAGTTTCCCTTCAGTGATACTATCCATATCTACCCTATGGTCATCAAACATGGCTAGCTGGCAAATTGCCCATTTAATTTTCACTTATCGAGGGAAGTTTAGAAATCAAATTTCCGACAATATGGACAGATGGAAAAGCAGAGGTGGGAAGAGCCAGAGAAGAGAAGTGACGAAGAAAGAAAATCAGAGAAGAGAAAAAGAGTCAGAAGAAAGAAGATGCAGGTGCGCGAAGAAGGAAAGTCGCGAAACACTCCGTTTTTCCAATGGCTTGTGGCTCCGGAGGGTTGACAAGTAGGCTCGCTAAAGCGGCGGGTGCGGAACCATCTAGCCAGGTGAGAGATGAAAAATTGCACGCCGTTGCAGCGCGAAGCACATTTCCAAGTCAAAATGTACAAAAAAAACAGCTGCTTCGGCGCACTCTTAGGAATTGAGCTGTCGAAAAAGTGCACGCCTTTGTCAATTGTGGCGCGAGCAGGGGGAGAGAGAGATAGAGAGACTCAGAGCCTCAGCCACCGTTCGGTCCATCAGTTGGCTCGCTCTGCCATCCATGCGTCGCAACAACTCACCTCTCCTATGTATATAGGTGTCCTATCTTTGAAACTTCCGCCACCGCCTTGTGCGGTACTAATTACTGGAATGCACATTGGGTTGGGGGGCGTGCCATGATTTCCCAGCCGTGCCTTGAACGCGACCGCCTACGAGATCTTGATCTGGAGCTGCGGGGCATTTTTCCTCGCCGCCGTTCACTGCTGGTAGCTGATCGGTGAATCACTAAAATAGATAAACATTTTCTGGTAGGGATTATGGAGTTTTTTTGTGGAATCGACGATCAAATACTGGGATTCTCATGTTGGTTCCAGCTGATTATGCTGACTTTTGACGCCCTTCCAAGCTCTAGAAACACGATTATATGCGATCGTTATGCATCGTTCAGCTCGAACAATGGAACTGACTATTCTTGGCCATGACAGTCACAACATTGCATTGATCTGCATGTGTGCATTGGAAGACTACAAGGGAAGCCATCAGGACATACAACGTTTCACAGCACGCCGTGAAGGAAGCAAGACAATGCTGGGCTGATTGTGCCAAGGCGCTTTCAGTGAACCGCAACCCTGGCTGTCTTTTGAGCCGAAAATTCAGGAAGTATAGAGCATTATGGAGCTGAGATTATTCATGATATGTTGGGCCAACCCTTCTGCATTTCAGCATTCTAAACAGCTGAGGACCGGTCAAACACTCAACTTCAAAACTGAGCCCCCAACATATCAACTCTGTCGTCATAGGGCTGTGTGCCTTGGCTCGCATTAAATTGTCAAAGAGTCAAGGCCAAAGGCATCCAAACAATTGCAATATCAGCAGTACAGCTGATGATACAGCGACAAGCAGCCCTCTTTGCGTTTCTTTTGCCCCTCGGCGTTCCAGGTTGGTTTCATGACATTGCCTCAAATGTACAAGGCAGAAAACCGCAACTACAGTAGATTAGATGCGTGTGTGTGCGTGTACGCGTTGGTGTCAGTGCCTAGAAAAAAGTAGCGCGATGATGCCAGGCTCATTTAATCACGTTCACAGGGTGGGGCTCGCTATTGAGAACTGCAAAGACTTCGGTGAGCCACTTATCGACGAAACTCTCGCACAAGTAAGAACCTAAGTTGCAGATTACCTCTCCACTATCTCCTGGATACCGCAAGTTTGTATGCATGTGTCTATTCTGTGTGGCAAATTTTGGCATGTCTAGTATCGTCATCCCTTGAAGTCTTGTGTACAGTACATGATCATGACTCCCAATTTGCTCCACTTCGGGCTGAAATTACTCTTTTGGAGACTGACGGAGGATGTCTGAACGCGGTGTTGTCAAAGGATTTTTGAACAACCCTTCACAATCAAAAACCAAAATACGCAATTGAACGAAAAATACGTCCGTTACGGGCAAACCCCATAATGCACAAAAAAGAATGTCCATACGGTTTTCCAGGTATATATGTATATATATGGGCCACATTGGGCCACGGTCAATATTTGGTATATAGCTCCAAGTCATCAATTCTTGAAGAGTGTATTATCGTTTTTCAGGTTTTGGTAATTATATAAGTAAATGTTACCGTTTTTTGAAAAGTGTGTTATCGTTTTCCAAGCCCCAGCTCAATTTCCAAAAAATAGAGACCGCTCGAATACGACTCTCCATTAACCTAAATTTTGGCTGTAGCTCATATGTGTGATATATGTTGGGAATAAAGGAACTAAAACGTTCATTTGGCACTGAGAATCTGTTGGTGGGAAGCGTCGTTCCAGCGATGTTGATGCTGTGCAAACATCCTTTGATCGTCAGCTGCTGCGCTCCTGGCAGATGGGCCCAATCCACTGGAACCAAGCCGTCACCTGTAAGATTTCCATAGCCCCCGAGTGCTTGGTAGCTGTTCCAGGCCGTAGATTCTGGTGAGGCTGACCTCGATACAAGATACACACAGGACATACAGGCTTGGGAGGGATTACAGCCAGTAAAATTACGTATTATGTAAAATTGAGAGTCCTGTGAAGATTAATCAAAACAAACTGCAAAAATACACACTGCGTAGGTCGTTTCGGAACACTACTGGTACTTGATGTTACTTGATGGTACTTGATGGTATTGGATTGGCATTCAGTTGCCGTCATGGCCCAAGAAACTGGATCAGCTCCACAATGGGAATGTTGCCCTCAATCTTTTGTCCAACCACTGCATCACCAGCGACTGACACCTGACATGAGCAGAAGCCAAGTTCAAAGGTCCACTTCAACCGAGAAAATCGAAGACAGCTTCAATTGACTCTGGCCGAGCTGCATAAAACATATCATCGGAAAAGTATGCTCCAGGATGAGCTTTGTTCAGGTTGCGCAGGCATCCAAACCTATGGCATAGAGAGTCCAAAACAAACCCTTTCGAAGGTGAACTCATCAACTGACATTAACCACAAGCCTTTGTCAGCTCACGCCAATCTCGCGCCATACATATTGGTCCATATATCACGTTAGCTTCACTAGAAACGTGTTTCCAGTATGCTGCAGGGTCTTCAAGCATCTTGAATATTTGAATCTTGAATATTTGAATCTAATGCCCAATGTTGCACCCAAATTATCCAAGCAGGGCAAAGCGTGCATGCTACGCCAGCAACTTAATTTCCTGCAGGCGACGTCATATCCATTTGTCCTTCTGGCGGAGGTCGGTGTGGAGTGCCCAGGGTCACTAGGCCTTGCACGTGTTTCTGGGCCCATTCCTCAGGCGATGGCAAAAGCAAAAAATACCTGTGCAAAACCTCAACATTTTACAGTATTTTATGCAATCTTGACGAAGCCTTGCAGGAATCATGCCTTTGAAATCTGAACCGGAACACGGCCCAACAATGCACAGCAAAGTCGTCAGCTAAGTGTCCAAACCTTCTCTCTCAAGAACTGCGCGTCCTAGCCACCCACCTGCGCTATGACCGATAAGGATTGCTGGTTGGCCTGTGGAAGCCAAACTTTCTTCGATCGCTGTCTTGGTGAGGTCCAGGTACCATCCATAAGCTCCCCGAGCTGTTCCATTTCCAGCGCGAGCATCGTCATCCAGCAAAATGCCAAGGAAAACTCGCAACCAGTCACTCCTTTTCACTGGCACTACTGAAGTCAAAAGGCCACGCCTTTCCAAACAGGATCGCAGACCCACATTCTGATCTTGACCCAGTGGCTCCTCACATGGCAGCGGTGCAGTGCAATGAAAAGAGGTGGACGGGGGAAATACAGTATGCGTATTGAATCAAATGACATATATAATAGTGACTCATACTGACAGGTAACATCATGTAACGTGTAGTTCCATGTATTTTATAGTAGTTGAGAATTTTAATGATTTTCATCATGTGCCTGGAGCCAAGAAGCTACGTAGTCTTTTGCATCATTGCCAAAGCCAGGGAGCAAGACCACTGGCAGCTTCTGAAATACAACTTCAGGCTTTGGTGGAGGGGCACCCTCCAATTGCATGGGCCAATGGTCTACTGCCTCCTTCTTCGGCTGAATGAGCTGAGCTAAAGCCTCTCCAGCATCAATGTCCCACTGCTCTGAGTATGATTGGATGCGCCCATCGCTGCCTGGTGTATATTTGGTTCGCCCACCGATGTCAATCCGTGGTGACCAAGGGAGCTGGACATCCCCAACCATTCGCCACTTTGCAATGACTTCTCCTGTCTCTTCAAGCTTGATATCCTGCAGGACACATCTCCGCCGTTCCTTTTGAACTAGTGCATCAACAATTGGATTCAAGCTTCGCATGTTCGATTGGAATTTGGAAAGGCCCTGGAAAGAAATCGTGGGGTCGGTGAAGGTGCAATCCTCATCGTATAACTCCAGGTCAATATCACCTGACCACAAATATTGCTTCTCTTCGAAATCAGCCCGGATTCCCTCCAACAGTTGCTGCGATTCGATCCTCTCGAATTTTCGTGGTGGAATGGCTGCAGCTTCTCCACCCACGAGACCATTGATGAGGCTAGTCAAGCCTGGAAAATAGGACAAGTCCCACAACTGGGCAGAAAACATCTTCCAAGCAGCAGATCATGTCATGGCAAATCTATGCCCAAGGGCTCTCAGTCATGATGACGTGATAGTACTTGGCTACTTGGATCTACTTGGATCTACTTGGGCTTCTGGGTCAACATGGCAAACTACCCTCTGAACAGTTCTGGATGAATTCCCGCGTGCTTGCTGGATTTAGAAATTGAGTTACTTCAACTGTACATCGCGGTGATCAAACAACTAACAATATTATATCATATATTATATCAAACGTTATCCAACTCATCAAACATTCACCAAGACCATCCAAGCATCCGTTCACTACAGACTTGGTCCATCCAGGCGACGATTCGTAGCTGGACCGCTCCGGCTCAGCCAGTCTCCTCAAGCCGGGTCTTCCAGTGCTTCGCCCAGGGGATGTGCCCAGCCAAGTGATGCCTCGACAAGCGATAGCCAAGACCAGCAGCAAGCGGAACAGAGAAGAATAGCGGGCCCGTGCCATTGCCATAGCGGCCATAGCGACCACAGGCCGAAAAGGAAAACTATGGAAAAGTTTGCGGTCACAGTCAGGGAAGTTCTGCCAGGGCAAAGTCTTGATTTGCTGTATTGTGACTTCAACAGTAGAAGCTCAGCAGAAGCTGGGCAGTTGGGGCAGTTGGATGCAGTTGGGATCCCTTTTTCAATGTGTTGTTTTCCCCCCCAGGTAGCCCTGAATGCGGTTGGCCCGTCCAGGTGTCAGCTTGGCCTCGATCTCTTCATTCTGGGGCCGGGAAAAGCTGTGCTTGTGCCAATTGTGCCAACAGTTCAGATATCATCTGGTTATTTAACATAGCCATGGAAAATCACCATTTTTAATAGGTAAACCCTCTATAAATGGGCCATTTTCCATGGCTATGTTAAATAACCAGAGGGTACCACGCGAAACACAAAGTCTCCTCCATCGATGAGGTAAGCGAGTGGGCATTCAGCTTCGCCTAGATATCCCAGTCCCGTCCCAGGTTGAGGGCAGCACTGACAATGTCCGGAGAGCTGCTGTGCGTGCTTCTCACTTCCGGAGCCATATAAAAAGCCTAATCAATGGCACATACGCTTCAGAACAAGACTTGGATGTCGGTTATCCAAACTATGAATACCTTGAAATGGGTGAATTTGATCAGCTTCCGACCCTTCCATCAAACCAAGTAAAAACAACGTAAAACATTTGAGCAACTTTAAGATTAAAGGCAAGACTTGTCGACCTGTAAAGCTGCTTTGAGGATCTCTGAGGTCTTGACTGTGCCAACCTTGGGAGGTGCGTCAAAAGGAACAGCTCACACGATATCACAAGCATTGAAGATCAGTCCAACTAAGCAAAATGTTTCAGTAGACAAACACCTTCACCTGCGCACTAGAAATGTCCGAAATCAAGGTCAGCCGGCTTCTGTGCAAGTTCAGGAACAAGGAAATTGCTGGGCGAAGCTGGGCATCAAGTAGCTTCTTAATATGATGACTAAGTTGGAAGGCCCATCCTATCCGAAATTATCTAACACATTATAAGTTGTAGATTAATATAGATTGTGTATATCTATAAAGTATATATATATATATACATAATTAAATATAACTTTTATCACATGACATGCATAATTCAAATCCGAGATCATTCTTGTATCTTGAAGTCTGAGCTGCCAGCTCCAGTCGATTGATGCTGTCGGTTCATGCCCCGGGAGCTGGGCTCCACCTCTGGATATCCTTCGGAAAAGTTGGCCTGCGAGCTCCAAGCTCCACATTGCTCCACGTGTCATATTGATATCGTCAGCATTTGTCATTTGTTGTCAACTGCGATTGCGATGTGGAAACACCAGGTACTATTCAATAGTACCAACCATCAAACAGTCTCCAGTCAACGATGCATTGCAATTCTCATCCGGCCAGCTCTGTGGACAGGCCAAAATCGCCGAGCTTAGCATGGCCGCCCTCTGCTTTGGAGAGAAAAATGTTTGGCCTAAGTCATAAAGGGGCATCAAGATATATCAAGATCAAGGCCGGCTGGGTGGCCATATAAGTTCAAGATAGTTTAAGGCTATGTCACTTATGTCACTATGTGTATAGGCTGTTGGAGGCTATGTGGGATTGACATGCAAAAAAAAAACATGAGGATCCATGAGGTCACCGGAAATCTCTTATGAAGGGATGTAAAGCCTCCACTCTGTGCGAGTGAGGGCGTGGGTGCGTGGCGTGGGTGCGCACAAGCGAGTGCAGGCTGTGCTGGGGTGGCCCAAGATGTCTCTACCTCTCATGGCGCCTGCAGCAACCTTTGTCTTGAACCGCGTTGTGGGTCAAACTTGCTGGTGCCCTGGCTTAGGAAACTCAACGACCTGAAGTGCATTCAGGTCACCTTCCACACTTCATAAAATATAGGTATTTGTCACGGGTGCGATGCAGATCCTTGCAGCTTGTGAGCTGTGCAGATTGAGCAACTGGGCCCCCCGGGGCCTCACAAGGTACATAAGGTTCTTAGCTGCTGTGGTTGCATCATGGACACATGGGTTTGTCTGAAAATGGGGTACCCCGATCTGTGGCTAATCAACATACTTGTTGAGAAAATACCTTGTGAAGTTGTCGATTTGGGGGGTGCCATATTTTCGGTCAAACCCACGCGGCTGCAAAACCTTACAACTTCACGCTACAAGCTGCAAGTTCCGCGGTTCTTGAACCCTCGATGCTACATGGCCAGCCATACAAACAACAAAATCCCCTTTGCATTTCAGTGGGTGGGCTGGTTGTCCACTTTCGGGGACTAAAACTGTGGTATGTATATGCAGTTTCTTGCCATCTGACAGCGCAAAATCCTGTAAATTACAACACTTTGTGCGCTCTTTACGTTCAATTTTTTAACCTGAGATGCTTTCACATATTCTTGGCATTCTTCAACAAGAAACAACGTTGCAGAATGATTCTGGACGACAGTGTGACCCGAAAGAGAGCTGGAGGGAGGAGACGCACAGAAACTCTTACACACACAGGGGTTTTTACACAGAGAAGTCTTTACACAGAGCGGCTCTTAGACACAGAAATGTTACACGGAGAAGTCTTTATACGGAGTGGTTTTTACACAGAGAGAAGTCTTTACACAGAGGCGTTTTTACACGGAGAAGTCTTTACACTTTACACTAAGGAGTTTTGGCAAACAAACGCGTTTACACAAAAGAACTTTTACACACAGAAGTTTTTACACAAAGAAGTCTTTACGCAGCGGGGTTTTTACACACAGACCCCTTTGCACGCAGAAGTTTTTACGCAGAGAAGCATTTACACAGAGGAGTTTTTACAATTTTTTACACACAAAAGCGTTTACACACAGTAGCTGTTACACACAAAAGCCGTTACATAAAGAAGTCGTTACACAGAGAATTTTAACACACAGACGTGTTTACTAACAGAAACTTTTACACAGAGAAACCTTAACACAGAATTTTTACACACGGAAACTTTTACACACAGAGGAATCCTTACGCAAGCACAGAGAAGCTTTCACACACAGAAGCTTGTAGACAAAGAAGTCTTTACACAGTGTTTTTACACACAGAAGTTTTTACACACAAAAGCTTTTACACAGAGAAGTCTTTGCACGGAGGCGCCTTTACACGAAGTGAAAAGCTGAAATTGGCAGCAGTTCTTTACAAAAAACTCTTGGCAGGAGCTTTCGGGAACAAACCTTCCCCACTTGCTCCCCAAAAAAAAAACACGGATTTCCAACAAAGTTCCAATTCCATGAATATGTTCCAAAACACATGGGGGAACATGTTTCTGAAGCAGGTCCTCATTCAATAGCTTTCAAGCCCACACTGCGATGAAATCGAGGGTCGAGTAAGCTCTAAAATCCAGCGATGCCTCGCCGTGTGTGTGGTAGCTTGCAGCCTACAAGTGGAAGGGTTAAGTCATAGCATTTCGTTTTAAGTCATTGCAGGGGGCTTGTTTTCGCATGGAAACGCTGCGAACGTTTTAAGTCATAGCAGCTCCGTTTAAGTCATAGCATTTTTATGGTTTCACCATGGAAACGCGTACGGAATGCAATGGGTTTTAGGATCCTTGTTGTTCTGTTTAGCATGGCCTGACGGTGAAAGGTATATGTCCAGGGCATGTTTTGCACATATGTTTTGTGTACAAGTTACAATGGAAACGCGCGTTGACGATGGATATGTTGGGTACAGTTCATAAGTGAAAACCCAATGTCACAGACATGATTTGAAGATGTCTAGGAACGGCAATTGCGATGCCAAACACCATGGAAACGCGAGCGCAGGAACCATGGTCAGATTACAGTTGGTTTTTCACGGACAGGGCAAGCAAAAGCAATCAACAAAACATACTAAAAAAAGACCAAACAAAGGCTGGTCACGAACGAGGTCAGAACGAGGTCCGAACGAGGTACCAAACGAGGTCAAAAACTACCCGGGACAGACCCTTACCAAATCCTGGAGCTGGAAGATTTTCGGCTTCAGCTAACAGTTGCAGTGGAATACGCTCATCCAAAAACGAAAAAAACAAATACAGAAGTAACCCAAATGGTGATAAAATGATACCATGAAATATATCAGTTTACATAGTGTATACTACCCTTTCATGTTTGAATCCTGGCCAATGCTGATAGACAAAGAACCTCGAAAAAAAGAGCACCGCATGGCACACACTCATCCAAGAGCAAAGACAACATACATGACTAACCCAAAATGTTTAAACGTGATACACCAGAATACATCACTTTACATACTATTTCATGCTATTCTATCATATTTGAACCTTACCAATCCTCACAAACATATATGTTGCGAAAACAAAGCAACGCATGGCAGACACACATCTAAGCATAGAAACAACATACATAGCTTATCCAATATGTTATACTATGATGCTCCCCAATATGCCTTTCCGCAAGGCAGACGCTCATCCGCTACGACTTAACACACGATGCAAGGACTTAACCCTAGTACCTAGTAGCTTTAGCTACCCGGGGGCGCACCCCTGCCGCCGAACTTTTCCCAAAATCTTTCACTCTGATGGTGTTTTCACGTTTTTCGAGGTCCGGGGTCGGAAAAAAGATGCTAAAAAATGACAAGATGCTTTTTGGAGGTCGTTTCGGGCACTTTTTGGCGAATGTTTGCTGCTTTTTTGGTGCGTGCCAAGCACCAAAACACTGTAGTTTAATTATATACAGTGGTTTTGTTCTTTTGGCATGGAACAAGTACGTCTTGCAACATGGTGAAAACTGCTCAAATACTAGTGTTTTTGCTAGGCACTGTCCAAAAAAAATTGTAAATATACTGTGATTTTTGCTACCCGAGGAGGAAAACAATAAACATCGTAAATAAGTACCATGGTTTTAGGTTTCCAAGGCGCAAAAATCATCGGTATTTACGGGTTTTTTTTTGGCTCCAAGAGTGTCAAAAAAAACGTGAAAACACAACCTACTTGACGAATTTTGACGATTTTCAAGGGCACACGAAAATGCGGAAATCAGATGCGTTGGCAATATCCAAATGAGTCAAAGTTCTGGCAGCCGGACATTGGGCTGAGCGGAGTGACAGATGCGTTGTAATTAAAAAATATAGCTGCAGCAGCAGCAACAACAACAACAACAACATGAACAAGAACAGGAACAAAAAGAAGAAGAAGAAGAAAAAAAGAAAAAGAAAACGAACGAGCACAAAAATGCGACAAAAAGATGTGTGGCAAGATGGTTACAAGCTGCGGTGTGAAAAGAACATCACACTGTGCTCTGCACCTGTGCGCACGTGCAAAGCACATGAACAACCCTCTTCCATTTTTGTCCCTATCCTTCGTTAAGGTTTTATGACCATAATTCTGGAGATCAGGCCATGACTTCTGCGGGCACTGCCCGGTGATTCTGTAAGCGAAAATGGAACAGGGATTGTCATATAACCATACAAAATCAAACCCCAATTACCCTGGCTTCTGGGGGTCTAGATACCTGATTTCGTAAGGGAAACTGCCAAGGGATTATAGGTGGCCACAAGCATTGAGAATTCACATCACTCAACGCCAGGCAAAGCACGGGGATATGATCGGACAGGGGGGAATTCTCCGCCACCCTCCGCCCTCCAGCTTTGTCAAAACATGGCAGATGAATGACTCAATGATTGCCTTCCAGCTGTTGTCTATTCGGATTCCAGCCATCAACTCCTTCAAGCGTTGTCATCATCTTTGCGCTCTCTATCCCTTTTCATCCGAAAATAATCTATCTAAGTACAGTACATATACATATGTATATAGTGCTCGAGTCAAAACACTTGCAGGAGATTGCAGGAGTCTCGAAATGGTGCGACGGTGCTGACACATGGCTTTGCCATGCTCATGTATAAAATAACGCGGAAGATGCTCGTCATGTCTGGCAGAGTTGGGGCTCGAATTGGATGTCAAATGTATTCAGTCATGACGTCAATTCTATTCAATCGACGCTGGAGGTGTTGTTCAAAGATTTCCAAGCTATCTCCATCATGTTGGACTTCTCCCATCCACACGGAACAAAGGGATCGCTCCCCCAATGGACGAAACAGCCGTCCGCATAGTTCTGACCGTGCCTGAGCCGAGTCACGAAGAACAGTCGAGGCAGGCAGCTGGCATATCTGGCATCATGTGTTCCAAAATGTTCCATTGTTTGAGGATCTGTGCAGTATCAAAGACATGGTGGACAACCCGAGCATAGCCTATGCCACAGGATGCCACAGGTATGGGGGGCACTTGCCTCTCTCGGATCCTTCATAAGCTCCCTGGGCCAAACGCACGCGTTGGTGGAAGCATGTTCCCCAGATTGCCAGCTAAATGCTGAGTGCATCGTTCAAGTACTGACGCGGACTAACATCTGCCCACAGGACTATGGCATGTTGTGCCTCTCCAGCTGATTCTTCCAGGAGTTTGGTTGGCCTCAGCATCTCAAATGTCGCAGCATGTCCCAGCCACAACGGACATCAGTGGATCACATGGATTCACTCAGCTTGGTGCGGACTCTTCGCAACCACAGCAGCTGATGCAGCTGCCAATGAAGCAGATTCCGAAGCTGAAGCTGCCACTGACCCTTGCACTGGAACAGAATCCACCCCTTGAAGAAGGGCACATGCCTCGGCAAAGGAAGGCTTGCTGCTAGAAGTGAACAAAATGTCATTGGAAAATAGTGGTAATAAGGGGGACCTCCACACAGTTGGAAGCTGAGCTTAAAAAGAACTCACCCCCCTGCTCAGGACCTGACAATTTGGCGATTGCCCCACACAGCACGTGACACAAAAAGCAAGGCTTGAACTCTCTCTGCCTTCAGCCTGCAACCAGTATCAACCAGTTTCTGAAATGCTACTAATGAGAGGATTTTCACAGTCTGAGATTAGATGGTACATATTGGTATGTTAGATGGTGGCTCAAGCCGGTCGACAAAGCGCAAACCATTCGAGCCAGCCTCAGAATCACGGGCACCTTGCAACGCGGAATGACCCATGTTGGAACGCTGAGACTCTCGATCTTCATCTCCGATCGTTTGTAAATTCAAGTTTTGAAGAATGGCATTCTCTATAACCGGCTGAAACATGCCCGCCACGACGTGCCACGCCTGGTTAACAGTATTCCTTACGTGTGGGTAGTGTATTTATGTGTATTTAATAAAAGCACAGGTGCATGCATCGACAAACGATGACAAACAGATCTACATTATCTATGGCATAATTACAATCAAATACGATCAATTACATACATATCATACATATCCTTGCCGTGTCCTTGCCATGTCCTTGCCACGTCCTTGCCATGTCCTTGCAGTTCTCGCCAATTCATTCTGCCTTTCACTTTCTTATGACCATGCCTTGCGAGTGCTGAAGCTTGGATCGGCGTCGATGAGCCTCGCTGTGGACAACAGCGATTCTCTGCTCCTTAGGACGTGCTGTAGTGGGATGCAGCAGAACGCGCTCTGGCCCGTTGCCATGTCCGCCAATTAGTCCAAGAGGCCCATCATCGTCCAGCACACCCTGCAAGAAGTTTGTCCCCACTGAATCGCCTTCCAGCGCAACGAAGACCGGTCAAACTGGTGAAAAGTGAGAGGGAGAGAGAGGGAGAGAAGGGGGAAGTAGTCTCCGGATTTGACATGTTGCCCACATCTGCCCACCAGATCTGGATGGAATTTGCACGTCACAGTATTTCTCAGGGTCAGGTGTCCAATTTTCGGAGCACACCAGCGGCGCACTAGCCTCCAAGCCAGTGGAACTGCATGGCAGCCAGCCCCTGTGCATGTACGCCGGGTGTGGTTCTGTCTTCTCCAGCATGTTCAAGCAAGAACAATCACGTCTTTTGGCGAGCAGCATCAGTAGAAGGCGTCTTGATGTTCCAGTCTGGATCACCCACTGTTATCTTCCAATCAATCATGGCCTCGGTCTTGCAACTTGCCGCAAAGAGAATGATATATATAATGATATTTATATACATCCCAGGCCAGGGTTGTATCTATACCAGAGCATGCATTGCGCAAACACAACTACGACCTTTTTCACATTTTTTCACTTAAACCATACTCCTTTGTCCCTGGAACACCTTGGAATGGCGTGGGGGGCGTGTGGAAACCTGCAAAATGATCGAAAGGGAAAAGGGGCGTCTTTCTCCGGCACCACGCGTGGCAACACCGCATTTATGATGCATCGATGGAAGGCATACTCAATGCCCTGACATCTGATAATAGCTGATATCACTAAGCCCATGGCGCTTTGGATCTGGTGGTTGCCAAGGCTATTCAAGAAAATCCTAGCACATTGGGCACATTGTCTCGGGCCACCAGGAAAGGTCTTGTGGCATCTTGAGACTCCAGCTGCTCGAAGTGCCCCCATACATTCACACCAAAAATGCAACTTGTTTTGCTTCGTGCGTGATTCTCACCGCAATTAGAACATTCAGACAAAATGATGCGACGTAAATATCCCATAATAGGCTATAATATCCCAAGGTTTTTCATACTTGTTCTGACGCATGCATATGAAATATGTTCGAAGTTTGGACGTTTATCCTGACACAGACCCTGATATATTGGAACACGAGGTCCGGTGAGGCACACAGATCTGCGAAGCTTGCTATGAGGCGAGGAGAAGAGGAGGCAGGAGTAGCTGACACGCAATCTATCGCAATCTAGAGACCTTTAGAATCTTTAGAGACCTTTAGAGACCTTTAGAGACCTTTTGAGACCTTTTGAGACCTTGAGACTTTGAGCCAATAGGTGGCAAATCAAAGATGCCTCCTGACAAATGGCTGACTCTGGCGCCTGAAAGCTGGACCAGAAAAGCAAATCCACAGGGTCACACCCTTTGCAATGACATCCAGCAGAGTGTAGCAGAAGACCTGCCACAGGCTGCACGGGTTTGAGGGGTCCATAGGGAAGCCTTGAAGGCCTTGATGTTCCTTGTGCCCTCACAGTCAGTTCTGGCCTGCTCCTGCCAAAGGCTCAGGAGACCGAGGCTCCGGCTAGCATGTGCTGCCTCGCATGGCAAGCCATGAATGCCATCTTGCAACCAACGCATGCGTTCATTCATATGAAACTCACACACACAGACATACATCATGATGTATATTGCTAGTTATATAGTTACATATATATATATATATGTCTGTGTGTATGCGTGTGTGTGTAGATTATAGCATGTGTATATACATATATATATATATTATGCGTGTGTGTGTGTGTGTCTGTGTGTGTGTCAGTGTGTGTGTGTGTGTGTGTCAGTGTGTGTGTGTGTGTGTCCATGTCCGTGTGTTACATCATACAAGACTCTACATGTGTGTATATTACATGCATGCGTTGCTTGAATATAAGTCGTTCCTCATCGCCTTCCACTTTGCCTGGCTGATCTGAGATCAGAGCCGGGTACGCAGTCCACAGGACAATGGCGAACCTCCAACAGGAAGTTGTGCCAAAGTTGCAGCAAGGCAACCCCGAGCTGTGATCAAATATGACGAAATATGGACTAACATGATCAAATGTTTTCAAATATCATGAAATCGAGTTTCTTTCAGGATTCTAGTAGTAGTATGCTACCAATGTTGAAGTCAATGAGTCAATGCCACTATTTCATATTATCCCTATATAATATATATATATAAATAGTTCTCAGGTTTTCTCAGTGGCTCTGCAAGAGTCACGGGCTCGCCTCAAGTACTTCCTTGCGCTGGGAATGCAGATTGGGTCAAGCCTTGGAAAACAGGGAAAAAAAAACATCTCAGTGTCTGAAAATGGCATTGACACCCCAGATGGGTGAATTTCACAGGGAAAATACATGAACATTAATATCATTAATAGAAACTATTAGAAACATTTAGAAACCATCAAATTTTGGAGTAGACCTATTTGAATTTGCGACTGCATCTCTGTCCTTGTGCATCCAAGGGGCGGCAGTGAGTACACCTGATGGTGCATGGTGCACCAGAACATCTCAAAACCATCTGCTTAGAATCTTCTTAGACTTTGTGTCTGATAATGGGGCATATACGTAACGGTATATACCTCAAAAATATATAAAAACATCCCAAAATAGTAATTGCATCGGGGAAATGAGGACTAAGCAGCGGATTTACAGGAACCCTATTCTTTGACAAATCCGAATATTTTGAAACCACACAAGCCTCACATCCGCCAAACCGATCCAGACTGTCAGTGAAACAACTATCCGTTGGCCTGCCCGAACATGAGGAGGTAGCATATCAACGACGCAGTGAAGTAGATTCTGCCCTCGCACTTGCAAAGGTCTAGGAAATTGAAAGAGAGTCTCGGAATGCCCCGACCATGCATGTGGCAAGTAATCAAGCTTGTCCGTGCTACGCAAGCATGTTTCGTGCCTGCCATTCCCAAATCACCTGATCCAAACATTTGCGTCAACGTGCTGCACACTGAGCATCAATCTGATTGCTTCTGATGGCGGTAGCACCCGATCTTCGATGTAAAGGCCTGGCCACTACTTAAAGTGCGCGAAGTCGCGGAAAGCAGCCCAAGCAACATTACCTAAGTACGTCTCAGGTGCCTTTGACACCAGGTACCCAAAAACACAAAGACACTGCGTTGCTAAGATGCCACTGCATGCTGTTGGCTCAAGTTTTGGCTGACCCAACACTGAAGCGATCACTGCTTGGAAAATCCCAACAAGGCAGGCGTATTAGCCAGTCCCTTTTGATATTTTTTTCACCCGATGGTTTGCTCTTGTTTGCAAAAGGCAAAATTATATATTGGGTGAAAATCCAATCTGTGTGCTCTTGAAAATGTCCGATACGCAGTTTGGATAAACGAGCAGATATAGAAGTTCCTCTCCAAATCGCACTCTCTAGGAGTTTGGCCGAAGGCAAGATGCATATGTTTTTTTACATGCATACTCTTTATCGTGTGCCCAATAAAATCCAAAAATCCAATAAAACCTACCTGATATTACTATTTAATAGGAGGGATATCCACATTCCCTATCAACTGGCCAGCCAAGGAACTACTTAGAGTTTCCACTTAGAATCTAATAGATACAAAAACATCAAACAAATATCAAAAAATACGGGTAGGTGGATTGATGGACGGAAGGATGGGAAGATAGACCAACAATGACAAACAAATAGGTAGAAGTTGAATGTAGATATACCGTATACATATATAATATATATACATATATATATGTATAAATTACTAACATGTAGCTGACAAGCGGGACAGTAGATCCCTCCCACTTTTGCGGCCAAGGTGCCAGGGAAGTGGTAAAAGAAACGGATGCAATCCTAAGAGCGGCAATTATTCGTGGACATAGTTGGATAATTGGACGCATATTGTGCATCATTTAATACAGGAAATAGGGGATCTAATAATGGATATTGATGGATGTTGTTAGGTAGAAAATATGTAGATATGATGTGCCCAACAAAACATACCAGGACTGGGTCCCAAAATCATCCAAAAACCATCCGTTTCTTCTGAATACAAAATTTGTAATAGCATGCTGACCTGAAATCATCATTCCATTGACGTAAAACGGCATGAGGTCGTTACAGTCTACAAAACCTGTGTCCATAATTATTGTTGATCACATACCTTGTTGATGCTTTAGCAGTGGTGCCGCGCAAGGCGGTGGCGGAAGTTTCAAACATAGGAAAAACCCACAGGAAGTGTTGGGTTGTTGATTTGCATGGGCGGCAGAGCAAGCCGCTGATGGATCGACAAGTGGTTGGAGTTTCATCCTGTGGAAATCTTTGGAGTGCATGCCGGCTGCTGGACATATGGACTGGACTCACATGCTCCTATGCATGCAGCGATCACCGGATGCAGACCTACTGGCTGCAGACAGCATGCTCTGCTATTGTTCTCTCTGTTCTGTTTAACTGCTAGATCCGACCTCTATCTGTCTGTCTGTCTGTCTGTCTGTCTGTCTTTCTGTCTGTCTGTCTATCGATCGATCTATTGATCTATCTATCTATCTATCTATCTATCTATCCATCTATCTATCTCTATCTATCTATCTATCTATCTCTATCTATATCTATCTCTATATCTAAATCTTTGTCTATATCTAAATCTATATCTATATCTACAAATCTATCATTATCTATCTATATCTATCTATCTTTAACTATCAATCCATCTAGCGAACTCTCGATGTATCTATCTATCTGTCTGTCTATCTATCTACTTACCTCGCTAGCTATCTAGCTATCTATCTGTCTGTCTATCTAGCTATCTATCGATCGATCTATCTACCCTTCTATCTATCTTATCTATCAATCTATCTGTCTATCTAAGCTTTTTATCCGTCTATCATCGTTTATCTATTTTTTCCTCCTATCCAATTACTAACATGTCGGATGGAGATGTCTCTTGCACTGCACCTGCCACACGAAATGCATCTTTGCGGGTCCTCTTAAAACGTCCCACGCCTGCCATCGTTTTTGAAACTTCTGCAAAACCTACACGTTTGGCTCACTTTTGACAAGGTGCAGAATCTATTGCGCCTGCCGCACAAAACGACGCTTGAACGTCCAAAAGTGGTCCCAACACGTGATGTCTTTACCATTTTGACCTTGAAACATGCTTCGCGCCACCGCTGCGTGCACTTTTTGGGACGCTCATCCCGCCACATTGGCTCCGCACCCGCCGCTTTAGCAGGCCTACTTTTCGACCCTCGGAACTCGGAACCGCAAAACATTGGAATAGGTGTTTCGCGACTTTTCTACCCTGTCACGTGCCTAAATCTTCTTTCTACTTGCTCTCTCTTCTTTGACTCTTCCCAAGACTGTTGCTGCATCTGTCCATAAGTTAGAAGTTTGATTTCTAAACTCCTTCGGTTGATATCACATTCATATCATTAGTTATCATTATATGCATTATCGAAGGAAGTTTAGAAGTCAAACTTCCGACAATATGGACAGATGAAAAGCAGAGGTGGAGCAGAAGAAAAGAGAAGAGAAGAGTAGAAGAGAGAAGATCAGAGAAGAGAAAGTCTCAGAAGAAAGAAGATCCAGGTGCCCGAAAAGGTAAGAAAAGTAGGCTCGCTAAAGCCAGCTGGCCAGATGAGAGATGAAAAATTGCACGCCGTTGTGGCATTTCAAAGTCAAAATGTACAAAACACACCAGGTCCGGACCACTTTTGGCAGTTGAGATGTCGAAAAAGTGCACGCCGTCGTGGCGCGAAGCACATTTCGAAGTCAAAATTTACAAAACACACCAGGGTCGGACCACTTTTGGAAGTTACGATGTCGAAAAAGTACACGCTGTTGTGGCGCGAAGCACATTTCGAAGTCAAAATGTACAAAACACACCAGCTCCGGACCACTTTTGGAAGTTGAGATGTCGAAAAAGTGCACGCCGTTGTGGCGCGAAGCACATGTCGAAGTCAAAATGCATAAAACACACCAGCTCCGGACCACTTTTGGAAGTTGAGATGTCGAAAAAGTGCACGCCGTTGTGGCGCGAAGCACATTTCCAAGTCAAAATGTTAAAAACACAAGGGGTTCGGACAACTTTTGGAGGTTCAGATGTGCTTTCGCGTGGCAGGCGCAAGGGATTGTGGACCTTGTCAAAAGTGAGCAAAACGTGAAGGTTTTGTAGCATTTCCAAAAACAATGGCAGGCGTGGGACATTTGAGAGGATCTGCAAAGATGCATTTTCCGTGGCAGGCGCAGTACAAGAGACATCTTCATCAGAGCTGTTAGGAGGTCCGGGCGGTGATTTCCTGAGAGGGGTTGCATTTTGGAGCCTCAGATCTTCAGGTTTGCTGAGATGATTTTGCGTGACAGGTGCAGCACTTCGTATGACCTGGCATCACTTTTTCGTGGGCAGGCGCAGTAGTTTAGACAAATGGATTGGAAAAATCGCAAAACGCATAGGTACGAGGCCGTCAGCGCTGCATGCAAGCAACTTTCCATTTTTGAAGGAAGTCTCGCAGAATTGCTTCGTTTTTGATGTTGTCAAGTTTGAAAATTGAAGAAGTCTCGCAGAATTGCTTCGTTTTTGGCGTTGTTAAGTTCAAACATTGGGGAAGTCTCGCAGAATTGCTTCGTTTTTGATGTTGTCAACTTTGAAAAATGAAGAAGTCTCGCAGAATTGCTTCGTTTTTGACGTTGTCAAGTTCAAACAGTGAGGAAGTCTCGCAGAATTGCTGCGCTTTTGATGTTGTCAAGTTCAAGACGTGAGGACGTCTCACAGAATAGCTTCGTTTTCAAGCTTGCAGAAAGACAGGTAGATAGCTAGACAGAGAGAGAGAGATAGATAGATAGATAGATCGATCGATAGATAGATAGATAGGCAGATAGATAGATAGATAGGTAGATAGATAGATAGATAGATAAGTAGGTAGATAGGTAGATAGGTAGCAAGAGAGATACATACTGTAGTTAGATAGATAGATGAGAGAGAGAGATAGATAGATAGATAGGTAGATAGGTAGATAGATAGATAGATATGTAGGTATATAGATAGATAGTTAGATAGACAGATGGATAGACAGATAGATAGATAGACAGGCAGACAGATAGATAGATAGATAGACAGATAGATAGATAGGTAGATATATATATATATAGGTATATAGATAGATAGTTAGATAGATAGATAGATAGACAGATAGATACATTAGACAGACAGATAGATAGATAGATAGGTAGATAGATAGATAGATAGATACATAGATAGATCGGTAGGTAGGTAGGTAGGTAGATAGTCAGAGAAAGAGAGAAAGAAAGAGAGAAAGAGAGAAAGGGAGGAGACCTCAACCACCTGTCGGTCCATCAGTGGCTTCGCTCTGCCATCCGTGATTCACAACAACCAACCTCTCCTATAGGTTTCCTATTTTTGAAACTTCCGCCACCGCCTTGTGCGGTACTACTGGTAATTATGCCGACAAATGCTTAGTTAGACCCAATAGAGTACATATCGGATTTGCCACATTCATAGGTCATATCACCTATGGTTCCCACATTCCCATCACTTAGGCTGCCAAGCAACTCCTTCCAGGACGCTGTGGTGTATAGCCGGGCAAAGCTCACCCACTGAAGCGGTGCCTGGGAAAACACCCAAATCTCATCGAAAAAAATGACTGATTTCACCACATTTCACCACGAAAATAGTGGATATAGTGGACCATTCGATCAATGCCAATGAGTCTAGTGGAGATATGCCGTTCAAAAAATTTAACACCACCCGATTTGCTTATTGAAAATATGCTAAAATTGCATATGGATTGGGGTTTACCCTTGCATTTTGCTCAAACCCATGTGGACCGTCACGGTCCGAGAAAATCATTGCAACCATGAGGCAAGGAAAGCCCAAAGCCTGAAGCCGGCTTGGATTTGCAAAGCTCTTGGCTGTTGATCATAGTCGGTACAACTTGAAGATATGTCAATAGCCAACGAAATCACAACTTGCAAGATTATATTTTTATATATATATATTTTTTTTTAATATATGGGTATAAATACACAAGGAGGCAACAAAAGTCAGTTGCCATCAATGATCATCACGTGGACAAGCTTGATTTTTAATCAACCACTGTGAACACAAATCGCAGGTTTGCAGCACATGGAGCTACCACTCCATACAGGATCGCCTCCTCCCATTTTCCTATCCTCTCTTTCCTATGGAGAGGGGCTTGTTGCCAGCGCTGGAAAGTAGGCTTTCCTCATGTTCTTGTATCCTTTGGGAAATTGTCATAATCAAATAGGATGTTTAGAAGGAGGAGGCTTGACCCAGAGAAAACCACATCTTCAGCTGTAAAATGCACTCCTTTTAGAATAATGGTAGTCATTAGGTTCGAAATGCGGCAAATTCCAAGTAGAAATTCCACCCTAGAAGAGAAAATAGGATATATCTCCACTTTAAAGCATTAGGTGCAACAGAATATATATGTGACATAAAATGCAAAATAACAGTGGATAAGTTCAGGTCATGTACTTCTCATAAACAATACGTGTCCTCCTTTTTGTGTTGCAAAAAAACATCATGCAAATTGGAAATATATTGTTTTGAAACCTGGGGATTTACTACTGTCATGTTTCCATATGATTGTGGTACAATACCACATTCTCTTGAAAGAAATAAGTCGTCTTTGAAACACAACCTTAATTCATCTACAAGGCCCGTTTCAGTTCAAAAAGTAAGGAAACTACCAGGTGTTTTCAAACAGGTTGTGGATATGTTCAATAGGTTGTTTACCCTTGATGCAGTGCCACCACTACATTCAAGCAAAAATCCACCGCGCAACCTGATGCTATATTTTCTTTGTAGCCAGGTGGTATCACACCAATGCCCTGCCATGGTGCAGTCTGTCACCGTTGAAGTTACGTTCTACTTAATAGTGGAAGTACATAATATAATGTTTAATTGAAATTATAATCTAATGAATAGTGGAAGTACGTATAATTTTGAATGAGTTTGAGCTGCGCAGCACAGCAGTTGACCAAAGAAAATGCAACACATTGAGCTAAAGGCAAAATTGCAAACAATATCAAGCAATGCATTTTATTTCACTTGCTTTCATTGCCCAAAGAGAAATATGTATGTAGTCCATTAAGTTGCGTGCCTGTGCTACATTCCCAGCAAACAATGCCTTGAAGAAATGGGGTTCTTCAAAGAAGTGCAATTTCCCTTACAAAGCATCCACTTCAACCAAACAAAATGTTGTCATTTATAAGCTGGTGGTTGCTTTTGAGCTAGTCAAATGTTTTTTCAGGAAGAAATACTTTTGTGAAGATTGGATTCTTTTTAAAAACGATATGTGTTATCTACAATGTGCATTGTGGTCTAAAGTGCAGTATTCCTGTCTTCTTCCTTTATCATGGTAACATTCCTTCAGGCAGATGTTGTTTTCTTCAAATTGAATACTTAACTTGAAGTTGCAATCATATTTAAACAGTTTAGCTTAAACAACAGAAACAATATTGTGTCAAAATATGCAGTGTGTCCTTTCAAGATGTAACATTCCTCTCAAAGATTCCTCTCAAAGAAGCTCAGCTGGCCTTTATATTTGAAAGTAGCTCCATTTCTTAAAAAAAAATGCACCACTCCTTTCAAAGAAACCCAGCTGCCATCTGTTTGGAAGGAACACCATTTGTTTGAAGGAAAGGTTTTACTCACCCAAACGAAAATTAGATCAGCTGCCTCTTTTGAAAATTACACCATGTCTTGCAAATATGTACAATGTAACAATCCTTTCAATCACACCATTTCTTTGGAAATATGTAACACTCCTTTCAAAGAACTCCAGCTGTGCTCTACTGGGACAGGAACATCATTTATTTGAAGGAAAGGTTTCCTTCGCCAAAAAGATAATCTGACATCCCCAAAGGCTTCACACCTGAAAAGGAAAGTTGCACATCCCCAAGGAATACTGCGCATGTTTAGCATGCAATATGTTCTTTAAATAGTAACTTAACATTGTGAAATTATAACCTAACTAATATTGAAAGAAACCTTTTAAAAAAACAAGGAAACCAAAAAAACAAAGAAAAAAAAACAATGTTTTCCAGACTAGTCTGAACATGCCTACATCCAAGTAGTCCCCAAAAAATTGTTTTTTTTCTTTATTGTTTTTGTTTATTTTGGGTGGTTAACCACTCCAAGCCCTTTTCCCTAGAAAAGGCTTGTGTATGAACAGCAAAAAGGCCAATATTGCTTTAGACCATGTGATATATTGAGGAACACAATTATCCTTTGCGCGCCAACAATAAGCCTTTCTGCATTTCTTGAAAAAAAGGCTTGTGCGTGGACAGAAAAAAAAACAATACTTCAGATCATGCAATATATTGACAAGAAAACAATGAATATATACAAACGATTGGTGATTTCAGCGCTGGCAACAAACTTTTCTGTTTCCTATATGCTGTGATCATAGTGAATGTCTGACTTCTGGCTTGGAAAACTTGGGACAACCAGTAGGGCAAAAAAACAATAGTTCTATACAAATGCTTCTGATGATTCTAATGATATCTACTGATGGACAATGTCCATACTGCTGGCATTTTCCAAATTGGTTCAGCATTTTCCAAAGCGCAACTCTGAACGCAGTTGCGGCACATGTATCGTCCCATGAGTCGAACTTCCTCATCGCCTGCGGAGCCACATCGTTGTCGCAGCATCAAAACATGGGCGTCACTGGGACTCTGCAAACGGCGCCTGTTAGCCAATTGGATTGACTCACCAACAAGGGTTCGCTTTCCTCCAGGGCTAAGTGTAAATAGCAGCCTTAGTGCGTTGAAACACCAATGCCAGACTTGAAATGGGCAAAAAAGGCAACAGCACTGATGCCAGGCTACAGCAGCATACCAGGCTCACTAAAGCCATAATCCATGACACCTTCAAGGGAAAAAAAAACAAATAGCTCAGAATGAAGGCTGCATGTGACGAGCAAAACGCACCGGATCTATGCGGCCTCACGCATGCGATGAATCAGGTCCGGATTTCCAACCACTCCTGGAGGTCATGGCAATGTTCAAAAACATCTCAGACCTGCTTCCCCAAGGTCATCCAAGTCTCATATGGGCGTGTCTGAAAATCAGCTATACCCCGATTTTATATGTTTTTTTGGCAAATTGAACATGGGAAATGATGATCAACCGTCAAAATTAGGGGACCTAAATCCGTTGACCATGGCCATCTCCACCACAGCAGTCTAAGGGAGCCACCGTCGCGTCGAACCAAAATCGGCAGCACGGAGCACGAAACCAACAACGTCAAGAGGAACCTGCTGCATGGGGTCGTTCCAACATGTTCAAACACCTAAACATCTCAGATTATCAGGTGGTAATGAGACATTGAATGTTCATAATAATCGAACTACCAGTTGTACCGCACAAGGCGGTGGCGGAAGTTTCAAAAATAGGAAACCTATAGGAGAGGTTGGTTGTTGTGAATCAGGGATGGCAGAGCAAATCCACTGATGGACCGAAAGGTGCTTGAGGTCTCCTCTCTTTCGCTCTCTTTCTCTGACTATCTACCTACCTACCTACCTCTCTATCTTTTATGTATCTATCTATCTATCGATCTATCTATCTCTCTCTCTTTCATCTGTCTACCTGTCTAGCTGTCTACCTGTTTATCTGTCTATCTATCTATCTATCTATCTATCTATTTATCTATCTATCTATCTATCTATCTAATCTATCTATCT